AAGTTTTCCATAGCTTTAACTTTGGCCATCACAGTCACTTGGCAGCTAGTTCATCTTGAAAACGTGTGAAAGATACAGCCATTCACAAGGGAGATACTTACATTGTGTTAGAAAAGGATCCCTGCTATCAGAAAAGGCATCCTGGAAGGATATCACACATGGTTTTCTTGTGTACATAATTATAGTAAGAACGTAGGGTAACTATATTTTACAGAAGTACAAATAAAATCCTGATAAAGAAATGTAATAAGTCAACATCTTAAACCTAATGCAGTAAAATAAATGTTGCTTGATATTCATGCTAATTGGAGGCATTCTAAGGCTGTTAAATCCTAATGTGTGTCTTTTTTCTGAATTTTCTTTAGAAAACAAATCTGACTTCTAATTCTTCTATGTATTTAATAGATTCTTGTGAGAGGGGAGGGTATAGCCCAGTGGTAGAGTGCATACTTAGCATGCACTGGGTTCAATCCACAGTACCTCTATTATAAAATAAGTAAATAAGTAAATAAATAAGTCTAATTACCTTCCCCCACCCCACCCAAAACAAAAATACAGAGTCCTGGGGAAAGTGCTGCTTTATATATGCATACCTTAATAGTACAGGTCTTCGAAAGGAAAATGACTGTACACATTTACTAAATAAAATAAAATATTAATGAGCAGTATCAACTGTAAACATTTTGAAGAAGCAAAATTATTGTCATATGATACTGACATTTTACAGACAGGTGCTTTAGGTTTCCAGAACTTGATAAATCTTTTCATTAGTATTATGTCAGCAGGCCAGTGTAAACAAACTAGAAAAAGCCTGATTTCCAATAGCCAGAATTATGAGCCCCATTTAAGTGCTTTCTCTAAATAGTTTTAGCAATGAGTAAAGGAGCTCTGGATGTAAATACAACTGTAATAAAACTGAACTTTTTCTTATTGATATATAATGACAGTTAAGAGAGAGATTTATGCAGGTGCTTGTATATTAAGTACTTATTTTGTCAATGATGTATCTGTGGCACTTACCAGTTGGACTCCGTGTTTGAATTTTGTTTCGTTTTGTTTTACTACCACTGTAATTCTAGCTGCTGTTTTTATTGTTGTTATTATCATTTGTCAGTATGCTAGATACTCACATTTTAAAATATGTACCTTATTAAAGTACTAGATATTTTAGTGATAATGCGTTTTCTACTCTCTCATAATATTTCGTATCTGTAATATGGTGAGGTGAAATTGTTCTTCAGGCATTTAATGTGTACTAACCCTTTTCAGAGATATTCCCTAGATTTTACTCAAATACTGATCTTTTCTAAGATTATCAGCAGTTCAGATGACATGCACATTTTCTTTCCCTTCATTTCTTATTCATTCTCCATTCCCTTTGAGTTATCTGCAGATATTAATATAGAGTATAATATTATTACTGCTCAACTATTTTACATTTATCAATTGGGTTATAATCTTTTAGGAAATGATTGATCATATTTGTATTTCCTTGTGGTCATTAAATAAGAAAGATATAACAACACCACTTTACCAAATATAGGGTTTTTTTAAATATAACTTTAAAGAAAATTTGATATTTCTACTTTGATTTCTTTCCACCTCTAAATACTAAACTTGCCCTTTGGTAACATTATCACATCTCTCTCTTTTTCTTTTAATGCAGAATGATTGCACTTAGGTTTCTGGATGCGTTCTTTTTATTTTCCAATGAGTTTTCCAGAATCTCAGGTTTTCCCACAGAACTTATGTTCGGTTAGTTGGTGAGGGGAATGCTGCAACACAAAAAAACTCTTAAGTTAAAAATCCACAGATAAGTAAGGAGTAAATGAAGATAAAAGCATGTCGATAAGTTTGAGGTGTAGACTGTGAGAGTAGTAAAGTAATAAATGAATACAGGTACATATGTTTATATCAGTCTGTTAATAGAACCTCTGTAGCCACAGTATTAGTATAAAAATCTGTCTGATGGGTGATAAGGTACTCCCTGTGTCTCCAAGTGACACAGAGAAATAAATAATGACAGTTTGGAGTCCACTGAAGCATTTTCTTGTAAACATATTGTGATCATTAGGACTAATACATTTGGAGAATATAAAAATAAATACATTAATTTTGCAGCTTTTTTCTTTTCCTTTGAAGCCTCAGCTTCATTGTGACTGTTTTGACTATAGACTCATTGATCCTGAGAAAGCAGCATGTTTAGGTGGACCCACAATTCCCAAGAGTCTGAGTTGTGTCACCCTTAAGACATGTATGAGCATAGAGCCTGATATAATTAAAAAAATTCTTAAAGCCTTGGTCCATATGCTGAATTTTACGTGGAGACACATTTTGCCCTGTGCAGTGTTTTTCAATTAATTTAAAGTAATTCAGTTCATTTCCAGTTGTTAAAATTTGAAAGATTTTTATCTGTAAGGTTCATTATCAACTTCTGTTGAATAATCAGAAGCTTGGGCAAGGCTGAGCCTACATTCCACAAGGCAGCAGTGTCTTGTCTCTGAGCACCACTGACTACTTCTGGTGGCCCTGGCGCTCCCCCATTGACCCCTGAGCCCAGCATAGCCTCCAGGACTCACCTGAGAGATCTGTCTGGCACTGGTATTCCTACCACAGGTTTAAAACCTAGTAGATTGCTCTCCAGACCACTTCAAGAGAAGACAATGGTGGAAGCAGAGGGGGAGAACCCCATTTGTATTCTTTGATGAGACTCACCATCCCGTGTGTGACCACTACTTACTTACTATGTCTCTTGTCTAATCAGAAAAGGAGCAGTACACCCTCTGAGACTGTGATGTACCTGGTTTATTATTTAGGAGAGACTGGAATAGAACCAAACAGAATTAGACAACTATATGAAGTTAGTGGCACTAAATAAGGATGAAACACTGAGACCTACCAGGAATCTGTTCAAAACAAATTAAAAACAAAAAAGTAAACCGTTTAAGAAAAAGTTACTTTGATTCCCTCAATGTTTTCAATCCGTTTATTATTAGCGTTAGCAGGGAGGAAATAACGTAACAAGCAATTACCATCCTGAGAGCAGCCCTTCAACGCTATCCATGTTTATAGTTTTTGACAGTATTTTATTTGGTTTGGTTTAAATCAGAAGTTGTCAGAAGGCTTTCTTCTTTCCCAGTCTTGTGGAAGCCGGGGAAAGGAAAAAGGCAGTAAAACTAGAGAAAAAGAAGTAACTGAGTACATATGCATATATATGTGTGTATCTTCAGGCTGAGAAAACCTTTCATCATCTGAATATTAGAATCCAATCATAATTTCCCCATCTGTCCAATTATTCTTGGCTTCCATGGTCTCTCCTGCCAGTCCTATTGGCATTTCCCTTGTAGAAGTAATGTATTTTCTATTTCTCTTTCTATTTGCCTGATTGTTTTTCTTATTTCCTTCTGTTCTACCTTTTCTTGCTCTTGATTTTTTTATCTTCTTTTGTCTCTCTCACCGCTCAGTCTGAATGATTGTGTTAGGTCACCCACTGGGCAAGTACTTAAAAATAAATAAATAAATACGTTCCCTGTTCAGACAGTACATTCCTAGAGGCATCAAATTAATGAGTATCGCAAGACCTGTGATACAAGAGAGAAAAGAAGATTAATGCAATTAGAAATATGAAGCACTGATTATTGGTGGCCTTAAGCATCAGTCCACGCATAAGTGTGTTCTCTTGCACACACATGTGAACACACACACCTGCACACACAGGTTCACAGGTTAACAGACCAGAGGAATAACCTGATAATTAGAGATCTCAGAGCTATTCTTGTAGATTCCTTTAGATTTGAATCTCCTTTTAAACAAAAGGGAGTTTTTTAGTCATACTACAGACAGGTCACTACAAAAAAAAAAAAAAGAAAGAAAGTAATGTCTTTAATATTTCCAAAGGTGTTTTTTCTTGTAAAAATGATGCTTTAAGTATTATTTAAGAAATTGATGTCATACATCAGCTACAAATTACATTATTTTTATATGCTTTTTGAATGTCTGTGCTCATTTGCCAAGAACACTTTATATGTTCTTTTCCCCTCTGGTGTTCTTGTGTTTTTATTAAATATACACAGAATTCTCGTGTGAACTTGTAGGAATATGGACATATGTCCAGCTGTGGCACTCTGAAATGTATCACAGTATCAGGGATAATGATAAAAATATTAAGTGACCAGCCTGGCATGGGTACCAACCAGTCAGAGCAGACACTGGCCAAGAACGATGTAAGGAAGGGTAGCTATGCTAGCGATGCCCTGAAGTGTGACAGCCTTGTGTATAACGGATGGAGGACCTAGTGGGATTAAGTGCTAAACTAAGTAGGAAGTCAGGGTTAGTAAAATGTGTTCTAATTCATCATTTGGGGTAAGGTGTTTTAAACTGGATAGACGTCCCATTGTTGATTATATTGGATATCTAGCTCTTCCAAATTGTCTGTTGCATGGATTATATGACTAATGTGACAACTATAGATGACCTCTGTTTAATTCCTGTATTTGTGATAATTGTATTCTACACACTTTTTAACTTGTGTAGTTAAAGTTAATATTGTCCCTTCTCAGTAGGGACAATGTTAAATTTATATTGGGTCTAGTATATTAACTCCTGTAAAGTCATTTAAGGATTAGAAAGAATTATTGGTTAATGGTAGTTTTTAAAATCTTTTTATTCTACTGTTTTTACATCTTTTCAAAAACATATATTAGTAAGGAAAAAAATACTACCAATTCTTTAGGTTTTGTTAAAGGAATGTAGGTGGAATTTTATAAACCTAATTGGAAATAAGTTTGAAAGTAAACTGTAGTGCTAGAGAATCAGGTCCCACTCAGTTGTAAAGTAGCAGTAGCTTTTATGTATTTCACACTTGATATGATTTAGGCAATATTTATTCCAAGTGGTTTATATAAATCATCTCATTTATTACTTACAACAATATTATAAAGTAAATGTTATCCTTAAAGTTGAATGCAGAGACTTATATATTCTACATTTGCTAATTCCACATCCTGTGTACATAGTAAACCACTCAGAAACAAGGACAGTAATTATAACATTGTTCTTGATCCTAAGAGGAAGAAAAATAGGCTTTATGTACACAGTTTAACTTGGACATTGTAAGGGACCTACCTTGCCGGTGAAGTGATACACATGGACACTTAGTGAAAGATTTAAACAGATGCACGAATGAAAGAACTTCTGAATATTCCTGGTAATGTTGAGCTCAGTCCTTTGCCTCCTTGTTTTAGTACCAGGGCAGCCACTAAACTTCAAGGCAGAACCTGAATCCGAAACAAGTATTTTACTCTCTTGGACACCTCCACGTTCAGACACCATTGCCAACTATGAACTGGTCTACAAAGACGGGGAGCATGGAGAGGAGGTAGGACTGTGCTTCTCCCTTGGGATCATTCACTGCCCCGAGGCACTGCTGCTGTTCTGTGTCCTGGCCCAGGTTCTGTGAAAAGGTCACACGTCTCTAGAGGACCTTGGTGGAAAAGATTTTTTGGTCAAAAGAGAAACTTAACCAAAAAAAAAGAGGGGTGGGATATTCGGAAACTTGATGGGGGTGGGACCAAAGAAATAAAAAAAACTGCTATTGCCCCATTGAATGTTTTTTTTTTTAATTCAGATTTCCAAGTTACTTATGGAAGTATCAGATTATAAAATAATACACTCCTTGAGACTTGAGAATTTCCTTTCTTTATTTTCTGCATTAAAGTACTGAAGTCACCGTCGGCACATGACTAAGTAAACTCCAAGGCTTTGGGCAGATGAAGTGGTCCAAACCAGTTTCAGAGAACGATGCCCTATAGCAAATGTTTGTTTTTATGCCAATAATTGATATGAATGTAAACGTATATAAAGCTTATGTTATGCTAATAAAACAACAGATTCTAGAAGGCTAGAAACTATTGCTAGTTACTGCAAAGAGAAATAAAAATCAAAATAACTAACACATACATTAACAGGCACTATAATAAGGGTTTCACATATAAGTCACTTAATCCTTACAATAGTGCTTTGAGTCAGCTTTTATTATTAATCTAGTTCAGATGTTAACAAAATGGAGGCATGGAAAAAAGTTAAATAATTTGCCCAAAGCCTCTTATTACTGAATGGTAGAGCTGAAATTTGAATCTAGACAGTTTCCAGAATTTATATTTTTCACCGTTAGGACACAGTGCCTCTTGGGTATACTTCGAATAGATTATAGAAATCAGTATTAAGATACATCTAATATTTTCAGAATGGGAATATTTGATAGTAATAAATATGTTTCTTTCATTATTGTGAAAGCCATCAGGGAACATTAGGACAAAAATGTTAATAAAACTGTACATGAAAACTCAATCCACTAAGCCATTTTATAATATTGCTTAGCATTCTTTATGTAAAAAAGATCTTCAGAAAGCAAAACAGCCCCAAGTTTTAACAAAGAATACCTTTTTTAAACACTCACGTACTCAGTGAGCTGTTACCAATTAAATTGTAGTGCATAACTTTGAATGCTATAATAAATTAATATGTTCCTGCAAACTTCTGTTTTATTGCATGTTTGAATTGAGCAGAATCTCCAAAGACCAGATTCCAAAAGCAGTGCTTTTAGATTTAGCTAACAAAGCTGATGTAAGTTCATCACTCAAAAAGTTACAGAACTGAAGTGCTGATGTAACTTAAAGTACTCATGTTACAACTGTTGGTGTTTTTATTAGTAAGACATAAGTCAGCATTAAGTTATTTTAAATTCCTACCATTACCC